TTTTTCTACTCTCGAGCTCCAAAATTCTGCTGGTGCTAAAGCATTTTGTAATTTGACCTCTAACGAGACGTCCGATTGGAGATGGGCCAGGTTATCAAAATGTCACTCAAACCGAATGAGCGTTATGATCTAAATTCTTAAGGTGGTTGAACAAAATATTTCACGAGAAAAATATGTTTTTAAGACATTTTCGGCGATTTGAAAGATGTCCTTACCATTTGATAGAATCAGTTGCAACATACAGCGAGGAAGCGTGAGAAGACAAGGAGTGGTGTTGCGTGACAACGAACACCATCTTTCGAACTTAAGAATGAGCAGAAAACAAAATTGTTCATACATCTCTTTGATGTTTCCAAAGTTATTTGTTTAATTATACAACAACTGAAAGGTTGCATAGTCTGGCTGCCAACAGTACTTGATTTAAAAGTGTAAAGTGGTGGTCAGTTTTTCGAACACCTGCGCGTGTGATAAGAGCACTGACTATTAAGGAATTTGAAAAACATCAAAATCATAAACCCTGCCAGTACACACGAACACTGAGTAGGTTTTAAACTTTGGACAACCTTGATAAATGATCTTGGAAGCGTTTTTAAATTTGAGTGAAGAATCACAATGAAAAATATCATGTTATTTCATATGTATATTTTTGAATCTTACGGAGTGTAAGACTCCGATCGAAAGGTCGTTGAGGGGATAGAAAAATCCGTCCAAAGCCAAGGGTTATGCTGTAACTCTTGCTCAAGGACGTTAGGTAAGCAATTCGCTGTAAACCCTGTCTCCCAGTCTCTCCTTTTCAAATGTTTGCACAGGCTAACCAGCATTAAAAAACTTACATTAGCACACGCAACTAAGAAAATATTGTAAAGTAATTGAGGAAATGCTATCCAGGCAGGGCGGCCTTGTGGAGTGGTAGATGACGTAGCGCTATTTTCAAGTCTACAAACCTCTCCTTGAGTGTGAAGACTTAAGGCATGAGTTTCAGTTTCTAGTATCGAATACATTCAATGAAGGCAACCTGGGGTCTAGAACGCTGACCTGGTCCTCCCTCATTCCTTTACCAAAGGATACATCAAAGTATATGAGACAATTTCCTCCTTACAGCATGCTCGGCTACTCAAACAAGCTTTAAAATCTGACACTAAGATGATATAGCGCAGATACAGCAAGTTAGAAAGCTGGAATCAAACGTGTTTACCAATGGGTTAGGCCATTCACGTTAAAAGGACCCTGTTTAGGCAAAAGCATTGTTTACTTTTCCAGTAAATTCCGTCTTGCGGCCTTAGACAACGGACCAAGGGCCCGTTTGTCCAAAGTCCCTATAACTTTTCGGGCCTGAAATCAAATATTCAAATCGAAATAAAAGGAATAAGAGGAGAGCGGATCTCGGCTAGCAAAATACTTCATTTTTTTCATCAACTGATAGTTTTATCATGTTAGATGCAAAACTATTGAAATTTCCATCTTGCATGTAAACAACAACAGCTTCAGGGGTCTGTTAATTATCGGGACTTTCGAGAATTGAACGGGCCCAGAAGCGGATGCAGCCTCAATGTCCTTTTCATTGATGACTGCCGGAGAAAGTCATGGTTGGAGACTTTCTTTCCAAGAGTTCTGATCATGAATTTCTGACGAGCCACCAAGTTTCAGTCTCAAGACCGGTACTAAAGTGCACACTCAGAAAATCGCAAAATGACCGGGAGTAAAACGGAAAAAAAAAACTATGTGGGTAAAGAAAGTAGTGGAAGCGTTACGCGATAGTTGACAGGAGCACCAGACGACAGCTTCCTCCTAATTACATTGAAAACCCTTTTAGGTTTTCTAAATTACTAAGTTCTTTGCGGCGCCATATAATTATAACAACTGTTCGGTCATCCACAGGGCAACTTGAGTAGTCTTTTCGATCGAAATTACGAGGGCTTCAATATTATTTTTTTCGAGAATTTTAAAATTTTTTCTAATTTCTTCTCTATTACAATTTCGTATCCGAAAATTTTAATTCCCTTTATATCGAGAAAACCTGTCTCGTGTAGGAGAGTCACACTCCCAGCCGAGAGAAAAAAAAAACATTGACCCCAAACGGCCTTCGCGTATGCTCTAATTGTCTCGCCTTGGCTATGAGAGCCCTTTACCAATACGGATCGGATTTGATCTAGACGGTCGGACCGAAATGTCCTCTTCCATTTGACAAAATTATTTTCCCCAGGACCACTCATCTGTATCCTGCTTACTAGCACGATAACCAAACTCGCGGTGGCTTTGGTTTGGTCTTTGCAACTGGAATGTACTTTCCACTGGGCACGTGGTTTTTCCGAAATTTCAAACAGGAATTTTTGTTGAATGGAAAGCGCGTAAAGTGCCTACGGAGAAACGTTGGCCCGGCTAGGAGGCTGGCCCTACCATTACCAAAGGGTGACTGGACAAGGTGGGTCACCCTTCTAGCCAAGCCAACTTTTTGTAATTTAAACGGTTCGCCATGTTTTGTAAAGAAATGCGTGAAACG